AGCTGAGCCACTGTTTTTATACGGTATGTACCAGTAAAACCTCTCATATTAATTTATTCAGTTTTTCCTGTGAACTTTGCTACGAGAAAAAAGCTATCTTGTCGTAAAATTTAACGATTAAATGATTATTAATAAAACCTTGAAGTGGATCTTTGTCAGTAAATGGTTCAACTCACTCCGGTCTGTGGTACCCCCTTTTTTGAGTCTCACTCTTACGACATGATAAAGAATCCGAGTCGATTGTAGTACATTTAGTTGCAGCTTAGTTTTATTTGAATTTACCCATTAAATAAAAAGAAAAGACCGATTCATTAATTGCAGGGATTACAGATCCTTAAGTCAGTTTATGGGTTCATGAATTACCAAAGCTACCGGTAGCCAGTAGTTTATGTGCAGTACTGTACTGTACTGTACTGGTAGTTATTATAACATCTGTAACCATTATTGACTACAGTCGGTTAACTCTAATTTAGCACTATATAATAATTATATATATATATATATATATATATATATATATATATATATATATATATATATATATATATATATATATATATATATATATATATATATATATAATTTTACAGTGTACATGAATGTCTTGCCATCTTCTCCCCACCCTTCAACAATCTGTGCCCTTACCACCCTCCTTTACTACATATCGTCCCACTCTGAATGGCACAGGCCTGTGTAGACAGAGTTCAGGTATTACAGTAAAATACAACATGATTCCTTGTTCAAGATGTGGTGATACTGCAGGCAGGACAATATCTGCACTCCTAAATCATCTGTCTATAAAACAATCCTATGAACCAAACTTCAGGCTGTCATGCACAGTTCAAAATGAGAATGTCAGTGGAATATTTTGGAAAAATATTCGGAAGCATTGCAGCTTACAGGGCACATCGTAGCCTTTTACCCAAGGGCAGTCTAAGTCTAACTTAAGATACGAGTCTTAAAATATGTTGTCCTGTTTGTTTAGAGAAAGTGGACGGCTTGAGAGGGTTAACCTCACATTATAGCGGTCACTGTTCAGATGGTAAACGTGTAAAATGTGTGATGAAGTACTGCCATGCAGAATTCTCAGTTCATCATCCCACAGAGCACATATGGCACGCCGCCGCAAGCACTGCAGTGTAGACTCAATAAAACAGGACATAAAACAGTATTCACTGAATGAAACCACTTCTGCTTGTAATTGTTCGGAGCCTAATGATGATGACTTTGAAGACGATCAATTTCATGAAGTTGGTATTGGTAGTGATTATATCAGGAACATAGAAAGGATGATCCTCAAATTACAACAAGTATGCAAACTGCCAGCATCAACAATGCAAATGATAATTGAAGATTTCACAAGTGCTTTTGAAGTATCACAGTCTCAGAAACTTGAGGAAATTAAGAATGTTTGTAAAACTTTCATGGTAGATGGAAGTGCTATTGCAAAAATCCTTAATGTGCAGGAAAATAGTTAGTTTTCTCAAGCAATGTCTGCCCTTTCGACTGAATGGTAAAGAAAAAAAATTTACAAAGAAAAGTTTCCTTATACCTTCTTACTTTTATCCTCTTCACCACTGGTCGGCTCGTTAGCCGCTTGGGCGATCGGCCACGTCTCTGTTACGCGCTGACGCACTGTTGGCAAGTACTGGGCATGCAACCGGCTCCTGAATGTACCTGAACCCGCTCCAGTGTT